CATCTCAAAATGACAAACAAGCACCTCAGGTCAGCAACAGTCATCATGAATATGCAAAATAAGATTAGACGAATCAGCTAATAAATACGTCACCAATTTTAGCGACAACACCCTTTGCACGCTTTACATTGAGAACGTTTGCATTTTCTTTGTTTCTATAGAGTCTACGTAAACCCGCAAGAGCCAAGTATACAAAAAAGGCCGTTTTTCAAATATTATTCACTGTTTTACAGTTTTTAGATTCTATTCCTCTCCTTCATTTCAAAAAGGAATTCGATAGCGTTCATCTAAGCATGTAAACACAGTGTACAATACCCGATTAATACTTTAATTTTTTTTAATCACACTATTTGTTCATCCTTATGCCACACTAGATGGCAGGACTAATAAACACTTCCACAAATTGCGCCTAGGTTTGAAAAAAAATCCGATACATCCTAAGCCTGAGACAAAGGATTTTTAATGTGAGGCTTAATATATAAGTGTTGTTATTCCAATATGGGCTCCTTTTATGCAAAGTGTCCCTAATTCTGGGCCAAATTAAAAAAGATTTCAAAAACAACCGTTTTTTTATTAGCCTTGCATCTAAATAAAGTTTGTTTGTTAAGTCCATTGCCGACTCTTACTTTCGCGAAGATTTGTTTGAATTTGCACTCGATGTACAAAGTCATCCATGCTTCCTCAAAGTTTTCACATATTAGTTATTAGCTTAAAAGAAGGGGGCTTAAAAAAGGAAAGGAATGGCATCTGGGAACTCTACGGTAACTTAGGTTTGACCCTTCTCTTTATAGAGGATAGAAAAATGAGTTTCCTGGATTTGAAAATGTTGGAATCTATTGTTTCAGATGTGCCATTTGATTGGTTTTCATTGTCTGGGTGGCCCCGGTTTCAGTAAACGCACTGTAACACGAGCATTGGATTACGACCTTAGGGGAACTCATTGAGAAATCGTGGGAAACGCAAATGAGTACGCAGGGTAAACAAATGAAGGCAATTGGGAGAAGGGGAAGGGGGGTAATTGAAGACATAGGTATAGCAGAAACTACAGCGATAGCACGAGCAAGTTAGTAGCAAGCTCACATGGAACCCGCTATGAAATACAGGGGGTTGTGTGTAGCGGAGCTCAAGGGATGCCCGTGGTAAAACGCACGGAAAACCCGATTTAACGCGCGCAGAAATTACGGGAATTGCATGAGGTTAAACGATGGACATGTTAACGCATGGGAAATTTACAGGGATTACACGGGGAAAGTAGGAGGGAGCTAAGGTTAAAGCGCGGGATGCGAATAGCGGAAAACAGGGGGGACTGCACGAGGAAAGCTTTCATAGCCCATGATGAAGGTCAGTGTAGGCTAAAGTAATTGAAAAGAAATAATCCTTTGTAATGTTTGTTTATTAAGTCAAATGCTGATCTTGAGATTTGGACATGCTTTGTTTGTTCGTTTGGGCCATGCTATGTTCAAGTCTTGGTGATACAGGGTTACTCTCATAAAGAAACAGGGAACAGGGGGGCTTAAGAAGAGGAAAGGAGTGGCTTTATTGAGATTTTACGGTAACCCACTGTTGGATAGACGTTTAACAAAAAAGAACTTATTTAGTTTGACCTGAGATGGGATAAGGAAAAATTTTAATGAAGTCCTCCGCCAGGGGTCGAACCAGCGACCTTCCGAACTGCGAATTTATTTTGAGGCAGGCCATTTAATTACTAGGTTCATATCGGCCCCTTCAATGTAGTTGTTATTAACAGCCTAATCTTATTTTGGTAAATGCGCCGTGGGAAATATTCTAAGTGCTAATACCCAGGATGATGTAACAATCCAAGAATGGATTGGAGACTGGTGTCTCAATAACATATAAGCACTATAATGCCTTTTTTTTTTGTAACTTTAATAGTCTACATGCCTTTATTTAGGGTGCCTGGGAACAGTTTCTCGCACTTTCCAGCGGTGAACTTTCGAACCTTCCCGACAGAATGTTTTAAACGTTGCTAAATGTTGCATCTTAAAAAATGCTGAGCATTCAAAAGTAGAAAAAAACAATAAAGGTTATCGAAATTGTTTTTGAGTTAGAAGCACTGAAGAGTAAAATTGAGCGTACTTTTAAGAAGTTATCTGTTGCTATGGAAACCAACACTTCTAAATTCCATTTCGATCTGGAAATAGTAGAAGACAAGCCTCTACGTGGGAAGTGCCACTAGAGAGTCCTACAGTATTTATTTTTATTTTATTTATAACCTGTTATCCTATGAAATAGCCAAAACTTGTCCATCAATGACTGGGTGGCATTTCAGTGATATAAATATTGTAAACCTGACATCACTTGATAAAGAATTGTAGTATAAGATTGATCCGTCAAAATATAATTGCTGGAAAGTGTTTATTTGGAAACTGTTGCCAGCCACCTTAACTATTTCTGACTGACTATACCTTGAACGCTTTCTGTATCTCTTACCTCCTGCCACTTCGTCTCTTTTCTTTTGCTAGGTTTTCTCTTCTTTTTTGATGGTCTTTACTTTCCAGAAGAAGCTTGTGCACAGGATAGGCGACCGTGCACTAAGCCTGCAAAATGTCAAACTTTTGTGGCTTTAAATTACAATTTTACCATGTAATACAGCTGTTCCCTAAAGTTTATACCCTCGGTAATTAATTACACATAATTTGTAGACGATATGACTTATGGAGATGTGAATTTAAAACAAAAAACACCTCATTAAGAGAAGACGACCTGCTCAGGCCCCGTCCAAATACGCGGAAAAATTTGAAAACGGAGGTTTCATCCTGAAAACACATCAAAATGTTTTTCTACGCCGGAAAAATTTGAAAACGGA